ATCTGTCTCTCTCTCTCACTGTGCACTTTGTCTGTCTAGACATATTTCCCTATAAGAGGAAGTGGAGCAGCCAGGGCTCAAATCAGAGCCCATATGGGATACGGGCGTCACAGGTAGAGGCTTAACCTTCTATGCCACAACCACAGCACCAGCCCCAAAGAAGCCTCTCTTTACTGCGGTATACAGCTCTGGATAGCAAGAGGCCCTTTTACCAATAGTACTGTAACTTGTATAATTAACAGCAAGTCCTTAATGTCATCAAATACTGAGGCATTGTTCACATTTCCCTGGTTACCTCGTAAGGTTTTGTTTGCTCGCCGTGTGTACGGTTGGTATATTTGAATCAAGGTCCACATACTGCTCTTGAGCATGTTTCTAGGGTTTCTGTAGGTACCACTTGCTTTTCCTTGCACTGTTTCTGTAGGAGAACCCATGTCATTTGTCCTATAAAGTTTCTATATTCTGAGTTTTGGTGACCATATTGATTGCTTTCCTATAGTGTCAATTTATCATGTTCTAGCTCCCTGATTTTTCTGTTACAGTAAAACCTAGATATGATTAGATAACAAGTGATTTTGGTGGCAAGAATATTTATTGGCAACATTGGGTACTTTCTCCTACATCACATGAAACATGAAACATGTGATGTCTGCTTGTTTCTGTCTTTTCTAATGGTGTGTTCAGGTGCTGTCAGCCTGATCCAGTTTTCAACAAATAGTTCTAGTATCCATTGAAGGTTACTGCCTGGATCCATTGTCTCCTTAGAGGTTGCAATATCATTTAGTACTTCTGCATTTATTATTTTTAAAAAGAACTCTCTTGGGGCTGGTATGTGGCATGTGAGTTAAGCCACCACCTGCAATGCCAGAATTCCATATGGGCACTGGTTCAAGTCCTGGCTGTTCCACTTCCGATCCATCTCCGTGCTAATGCACCTGGGAAAACAGCAGAAGATGGCCCAAGTCCTTGGGCTGCTACATCTACATTAGAGATCCAGATGAAACGCCTGGCTCCTGGCTTCAGTCTGGCCCAGCCCCAGTCATTGTGGCCATTTGGAGAGTGAACTACTGGATGGCAGATATCTCTCTCTTGGTCTCTGAATCTACCTTTCAAATAAAATAAATCTTTCTTAAAATTTGAAAATTAAAATAAAATTTTAAAAAAGAAAACTCTAGGCCAGTGCCGCAGCTCACTAGGCTAATCCTCCATCCGTGGCGCTGGCACCCCGGGTTCTGTCTCGGTTGCTCCTCTTCCAGTCCGGCTCTCTGCTGTGGCCTGGGAAGCCAGTGGAGGATGGCCCAAGTGCTTGGGCCCTGCACCCACCTGGGAGACCAGGAGAAGCACCTGGCTCCTGGCTTCAGATCGGCGCAGCGCGCCGGCGGTAACTGCCATTTTGGGGGTGAACCAATGGAAGGAAGACCTTGTTTCTCTCTAACTGTCTAACTCTGCCTGTCAAAAAAGAAAGAAAGGAAGGAAGAAAGAAGGAAAAAAAGTAAGAAACTCTCCCAGGGCTGGCTGTGTGGCACAGCGAGTAAGCCTCTACCTGTGACACCAGCGTCCCATAGGAGTACCAGTTCGAGTCCCAGCTGTTCCACTTCCAATCCAGCTCCCTGCTAATGGGCCTGGGAAGGCAGCAGAAGATGGTCCAAGTATTTGGTCTCTGCTACTCACAGGGAAGACCTGGATGGAATTCCAGGCTCCTGGCTTCCGACTGGCCCAGCTCTGGCTATCATCGTCATTTGTGGCATGAAACAGCAGATGGAAGATCTCTTTCTCCATCTTTCCCCCTCTCTCTATAACTCTGCCTGTCAAATAAATAAAATACATCTTTAAAAAAAGAAGGACTCTTCCTTATCATCTATTGGTAGCCTTAAAGTATTTTTTTTAGGAAAGGCAGGATATTTGATTTTTTTCCACCTTATTTATCAGTTTTGTAATGATGAACATCCTCCAAAACTGGACAAAGAGTTGTTGTATTATTCTTATGAGAGATTTTAGCATATTTTATGTGTTTCAATCATTTACAATTTGTTTTTAACTCAAAATGTCCCAATTTTTGCAGGGCCATGTTTTTCTTCCTTAGAGACTGAAGACCCACAATCATATAAGCAGTCACTTTCCCACTTAACTGAGGGCTGCTTTCCAGAACTTATGAAATGAGTCACCAGGGTACTTGAGTCTGGCATTGTAGACTAAAATGAGTGTCTCTTTACCATTTCTTTCTTTTCTTAAAAAAAGATCTATTTATTTATTTATTTGAGAGGCAGAATTACAAGCAGAGAAAGGGAGAGACAGACAGAAAGGTCTCCTATCCACTGGTTCACTCCCCAAATGGCTGCAAGGGCCAGAGCTGAACTGACCTGAAGCCAGGAGGCAGGAGCTTCTTCTGGGTCTCCCACGTGGGTGCAGGGGCTCAAGCACTTGAGCCATTTTCTGCTGCTTTCCCAGGTGCATCGGCAGGGAACTGGATTGGAGGCGGAGCAGCCCATATAGGAGGCCGGCACTGCAGGCGGAGGCTTAACCTGCTACACCACAGCTCAACACCTGAGGGCTCTACTTTCTACCAGGAAGCCCCACAATCACAAAGTTTGGTTGAAATGATCTCAGCCTGGGAAATGTTACCTTCCCAGGACCTGATAAGCCCTCCTGAAAATACAACATCTGCACCTTTCTGAATCCTTAAAATGGAAGTAAATGAATAAAATGCACGTAAACCCACAAGGACCCAAACAGCACAAGGGACGAGGACAGAGGGAAACGGAAGACTGAGGCCTAAGTGAGGCCCAGTGCAACAGCCACACTCCTGAGTAGTGCAGGAGCAAGGGAAGTGACCGGAAGCCAGCCACTGCTGCCTGTCTGAGCTCACTGAGAGAGATCTAGCGATCAGTGGGAAAGCTTGACATGAAGCAGTGGTAAACGGGCAAATAGGAAGCTGAGCAACATTTTTCTCTTTACAGGTATTTATAACTAGGAAAAACAAAAGGTTATTCAAGAAAGGAAAAAGTGTAATACATTATTTGTCTCTGTGCTGTGGATAAAATTGACATAATCTTAATAACGTAACCACTATTAACCAAAAAGTGATATATAACTACATTGAGAGATGAGGCAAGGTAAGGAGTGTGTGTGTGTGCACGCGCATGTGAAAGAGTTAAATTTTCATCTTCCAAGTAAGAAGCCCTTTAGATAAATTGTAAAACACTAAAAACTTTAGAAACAGCAGTTAGGCTACATTACAAGAGATATCCAAAAAGTATGTGGAAAATGAACATTATTAAAAAACATGAATTTCAAAAACATTTTTGCACCAAAAAATGACCTTTTAATTCCATTTTATCCATAAACTTTTGAAAGCACTCTCATATATAGAAATCATGGGGGCAAATGTCAGAAGCAATAGCTAAAAATATGACAGGTATTTAATTCCTGGGGATTGGGAGTCTGGAGTGTGAGGGTGGGGGAGGAGACTTCTGTTTTTATTTCTATTTGACATTTTAAATTATGTAACTATGTGCATTTATTAAGATATTTTAAATTAAAAAGTTATTTTATTTCCATGCATCTCTGCTTCAAATAATTCTGCTGCCAAGAAATTAATTTCTGTCATGATTTGGAGCTCTCTCCTTCCCCAAGGTCATGCGAGAGTCCCAGATGGTTTCCTGTTCTCTGGAATATACAAGGTAGGCCTTCAGGTCTCCAGTGCACAAGGTCCCCACGCCTTGTCCAAGCCCCATAACCTCCTCGGTTCTTTGATCAGACTTGGAGAGAGGATCTTTCGTTCCTGCCTGCAAGCTGTAGTCTCTCCCAGCCTCTCTCATCAGAAATACCTTGTCGCCTCTTGGGGCCCTCAATGGAATGGGGCTCCCATCTGCTGCTCCCAGACAGGGAAGCAGGTACAGTTGCTCCTGAGGCTGCAGTCACATCTTCTCCAGCACTTTCCTCCTCCCCCACCTCTCCTCGACCCTGGGAAAGTCAGGAAAACCTCCTCTTCATGCACCCTCAGTAACCCAGAGCCCACTGCTCTAACTGCAGAGGAGCCGGTGAGAGAAGAAAGCATCACAGAGCAGCACGGGCCTGCCCTGGACCCTCTCCTGGGATCTTTCACTCAGGTGACAGCTTTGCAATTTTGTGAAAGTTCATTTTTAAAATTTATCTGAGGGGCAGAGTGACTCACACAGAGAGGGAGAGAGAAAGAGAGAGAGAGAGAAAGAGAGAGAGAGAGAGAGAGAGAGAGAATCTCTCCCCAAATGTCTGTCATATCCTCAGCTGGGCCAGGCTAAAGCCAGGAGCCAGAAACTCCATTCAGGTCTCTCACATGGGTGGCAGAGACCCAAGCACTCGGATGATCACCTGCTGCCCCTCCCAAGCTGCACATTAACAGGAAGCTGGATCAGGAGCAAAGGCTGGTCTTGATCGCAGACCCTGTGACGTGGGATGTGGGCATCCCAGGTGGCGGCTTGCTGTATTACGTCGCAGTGGTGGACCTGACATCTTCTCAGTTTGATGTACCATTCTATGTGGAGAAGTCTCCTGCTGGCAGCCAGGCCTCTCGCGGGAGCCCTCCTCCATATGTCACCCCCCCCCAGCCCTGCAGCCGTAAAATGCAACGCAACCTGACATCTGCCTTTTTTCTGTGACATTTTTCTTCGATTGCATTTATGCAATATGTTTATTGTTACAATTCTTATTGTAATTTTGTTTCTCCTCTATTACAGTCACTCAGTTCACTCCCCAACAAAGGAGTTGCAAGGGATGTGTCCCCTGGCTCCACGAGAGCCAGGTCTAAGGCAGCAGTCTCAGCAGACGCAGTCAGGGCACACTTGATGCTCACTGGGGTGTGCAAAGAACAAAAGAGGACCTCTGGTCCGCTACATGTTGTCTATCGTTCATCTTTGCTTTCTACATTCTCAGACTTGTTTTTTCAGTGATGAAGTGTGTGAACTAAGGTACTTGAAAGTTATATTCTAGGGCAGTGTTGCTCAATAGAAACATAGGGATTGAGCCTCATGTGTAACTTTAAGTCTTACATGCCACAATAAAAAGGGGGGGAATTAAATTTAATAACATATTTTATTATTTATATCGGAAATATTATTCCAACCTGTAATCAGTGTAAAATTAATAAAATATTTTACTTTTTTTTCCCTTAGTTTTCGAAATCTAGCCTGTAGCTGAGAGTGACAACACATTTGGTTTAGACTAGCACGTGGCAAGTGCTCAGTGGCACGTGTGGCTCTCCGAGCCACGTAAGACAGAGTACTCCGCTGTAACAGAGGTATCTGAGATAAATCTTGTATCTAGAACTGCTTCTGACAACAGAGTTGAGACAGAACTGTGCTGGCCTCGTCTCTGTAGCACACCCGGCACAGTGATGAGAAGAGAACCACGAGTCCTTGATCATCTACTTTGCACTTGAGCACTTCTGTGTCTGTTTCATTCCACTATCTAACCCGCCCTTGATTCAACCAGGTCAAAGGCAAAGAAATGGAGCTCAGGTCACAGATGCAGGGAGAATGCCAGTCGTCATCCAAAGCCCTGACCTGCAGCAGCTTCTTCTGGATGATACCCCCTCGCCTTTGTGAAAACTCCCGAATGCATTGCGGTCACTGCTGTGCAACGGGGTTGCCAGTTGAGAGTGCGGTCACGGAGCAGGCAAGCAAAGTCTGGACCGTGGCAGTCACAGCGCCCTCCTCCAAGCCCCGGGGGAACAACAACAATGCAGATGGTCGGGCCCTCTAGCCTCCAGGTGTACACGCTGATTTCCCAGCCCAGCAGGCTCCTCCTTGGGGCTTCTGGCGGTGAAGTCAAACTGAAGTCGATTAATTAAACACTGTATTGATTGCAGGTGCTCTGGGGGTTTCTAAAAGGGCTAGCTCCCTGAAGTAGCTTCTCTTGAGTTAGTAGCTCATCTTCCCCTTTGCAAGTGTGACACTGAGAACTTGGTCACAGTCCTCCCACACACCCACCCTGATGTCGGCTCCCGCTTCCTTGAAAATCCTACTTCTTGCCTTTCCCAAAAGACAGTCACGGCAAGGAAAGAGAGAGGCCTGCTGGTTTCCAGGTCATGTTGATTTAACACTTCGTCATTGATGCATCCTGGCTGTCTCACTTGTAGATTTTCATTTTTACATCCTGCTAAATACCTTGCAGGGGTGTCGTCTCTCTTCATTAGTGAATGTTAGCGAAGCACGTTAGAGAGGGAAGTGCTGTGTCAGTGCTAAATGTGACCCATCAGGGATCCTCATGCTCTCCTTTGTCTGCACAGGGCTTTTTAGTAGCACACTAACCATGAGAGGGATTTGCACTTGGCAAAAAACTTGGGTAGTCTCCGCTGGATTGCAGATCACTGGAACGCAGGTTCTTGGTGCAGGAGCAATTGCACAGGGCATTTTGCATCACCACACCTTCTGTCCCGGATGTAACAGAGTTTTCTCTGTTGATTCAGAGTGCTGTGATCTGATGAGGGCTGAGGAAAGACTATTTCCTGTGAATTGTGCTGCTTTCGTGGTAGACCCTTAACCTTCCGGGTACGTAGTGAGAAATCCATGGCTGGGTTTTGTTTGTTTCCTTTTTTTGTTCACTGAGAGGGTTACTGAAACAATTGAACTGTGTTTCCAATGTGTCTAGAGTAGGAAAAGACTGGTTTGAAATTACAGCATGTGAAATTAAGTGTTGGGTAATATTTCACTAAGAAAGAATTTAAATACTGCTTTCATTTGCTTTTGTTAACATACTCAGTAAATCTGAGTTTATAAAATGTCTACATAGAGGATCAGGTCCAGAATCCTTATTAAGCTGTTTTATTTCAGCAGCCCATCTCTGCAAACAAAAATAATGTTTTCTTGTAGAATACTGAAGGGTTTCCATTCTTTATTGTTTTCTAATTCTCAGGTATTAACCAGGTGGATATTTAAAACAAGAAACCTGGGGCAGGCATGATGGCTCCTGCTGCTTAGGATGCCAGCATACTATATTAGAGGGACAGTTCAAGTCCCAGCACCTGCGCTTCTGGTCCAACTTCCTGCTAATGCATCCTGGGTTGGCCCCTGGCACCCTTGGAAGAGATCTGGATGGAGTTCCTGGCTCCTGGCTTCACCCTGGCCCAGCCCCGGCTGTTGCCAGCATTTGGGGAGTGAACACAAATGGAAGTGGATGGAAAGTCTTTCTGTCTTTCTCCCTCTGCCACTCTACCTTTCAACTAGATGAAAACAAATTTTCTAAAAAATAAAAAACTGCTTAAAACAAAGCAGATAAAGTTGCAAGTTTCTATTTTGCTTAACAGTGAGGGTTTATGAAAAACATGACTTTTTTGTTAAATTTTTATAGAAACAAAAAATAAACTATAATTCGCAGCCTGAAACTCACTTGATATTTCTTTGCAAATCCACACAGTGGCTGTTAACTGCAAATAATTACAATAGTGTTGCTAAATCCAGACTTCATTGTAAGAACACGGCTTATCATCCTTTATCTTCATTTTCAGTGTAAGAAAATCCTCCATTTATTTTTAATAATCAAAATTCCTCAAGACTCCAGCAGGATCCTCAGTCAATGCAAATTTGCCTAGTTCATCTTCTTCCACTCAACTTGTTTTTCTATAATTAGGTGCAGCTGTCACCAGGGAGCCACGTTCTTGTGGGCAGGTAGCTATGGGTACAGCAGGCAGGCTTCAGTCAAACATTTCCCTTAAAAACATCTCTCCACGTTTCTCCTCATTTCCAGTGTGACTGGTTCTGTAAAGAAGAATTTGTTTGCTACCTGGCAGGTGTCTCGCTTGTCACTGTTGACCCTCATCCCTCCCTTACAGCTCCTTCTTCAGGTTCATTTAGTGAGAGACATAAATGCATCTCTAAAGAATGTCTCATCGGGCCAACTTTTAGCCTGCATACATGATATTTCTCTTTATAGCTTCCATATTTTTATCAAGACATATCCTCATTTCAAAATGTAGTTATAACACTGCTAAAAACTTGGCAAGACCGTATGATAAGTATAATGACAAGACAAGCTTCAGAATAATAGAGTAAACACCTTCCACGTCCTCCCCTGTATATGTATAATCTTTACATTGCCTTTCTCTTCAGTGTTTGATAGAAATAGGACAAACGGAGGTGTTTTTCCTACTTCACACGCAGGTAACCCGATCCTTCAAGCCCTGTCACCAGAATGTGTGGGCATTTCACCTCACCCACAGCCAATCAGTTCCCCAGCTGTCACTGCCTGGGAGCCCACAGTTTAACTCCATTCCGACTCTGCCCACCTGGTAACAGCGTCAGATCCCACAGGTTAAGGGCTGTGTCCCACAAGACCGCGCCCTCTCCCCTCCCCCCATCAGATGCCCATGCAAAGGCCCAGGTTATGACCTGTGCTTCTGGCCAACTGGCCATGAGTCAGGGATCCCACAGCCCCTCCCCGGGTTCCGTGGATGTGCTGAGCCACACACAGAAGCCAGGGGAACGCTTCCTTCCATTCGCCGGTTTGTTATAAATCATGTAGCACATACCACAGAGATGCAGAGGGCAAAGTGTGTGGGAAGGGGCATGGAGCCCCAGTGGTCTCTCAGGGGTGCCACTTTCTAGGAATTTCTACATGTTCAGTGACCCAGAAGCTCTCAGGACTCTGTCCTTTTATTTTTTTTTAATATTTATTTCATTTATTTGAAAGACAGAGTTACAGAGAGAGGTAGAGACAGAGAGGGAGGTCTTCCATCTACTGGTTCACTCCCCAGTTGGCCGCAACAACCAGAGCTGCTCTGATCCAAAGCCAGGAGCCAGGAGCTTCTTCTGAGTCTCCCATGTGGGTGCAGGGGCCCAGGAACTTGGGCCATCTTCTACTGCTTTCCCAGGCCATAGCAGAGAGCTGGATTGGAAGAGGAGCAGCTGGGACTAGAACCGGTGCCCATATGGGATGCCGGCGCTTCAGGCCAGGGCTTTAACCTGCTGTGCCTCAGTGCTGGCCCCGTCCTTTTAGGTTTTTATGGAGGCTTCCTCACAGAGGTGTCATTAGCCAGTGGTGATCAACCCAATCTTCAGTCCCTTTGCCCTCCCTGGAGGTTGGGGGTAAGGCTCACACTGTCTTGGTCTGTTGTGTGCTGCCATAACAGAATACCACCAGCCAGGTAATTCATAACGAGGAGACCTTTATTTTTCACAGATCTGGAGGCTGCAAAGTTCAAGGTCAAGGTGCTGGCATCTAGTGAGGGCCTTCTTGGTGTGTCATCCCAAGGTAGACTGGCAAAGAGAAGATGAGAGAGAGCAAGAGGGGGCCAAACTCCTCTTTTTACAAAGGAACCCACTCCCAAAATAATATACCGACTGCTGCGATAACCACATTAATCCATCCACTCTACCCCCCTGGTCTAATCCCCTCTCATTAGGCCCCACACCCTCCAACACCATTGCATTAAAGATTACTTTCTACCTGCTTTTTGGGATATGTATTCAAATGATAGTGAATGCATTGGCAGCCAGCCCCCATTCTAAATCCATCTGGGGGTCCCCAGCCACCAGTCATCTCATTACCATGCAAAACACTCATCACTCCAGAGATTCCAAGGGTTGTAGGAGCTGTGTGCCAGGAAACTAGGACAGAGACCAAATATATATGCCTTCCTCTATTGCAATATCAAAGGCATGCTGTATATTCAGGCTTTCTAGCACCCATTCTATTGTTGCTATGTTCGTAGCAATTATTTTCAGATCTGAGTACCCAATGTTTTAAACCATCTAAATCTTTACTATGAAAAGAATTTCCAGAGAATTTTAGCTTAGCGGCTAAGATGCCTGCATCCCACACTGGAGTGTCTGGGTTTGATTCCAGCTCCAGCTCCTGATTCCAGCTTCCTGTCAATGCAGACTCTTGAAGTCAGTGACGATGACTCAAGTAACTGGGTCCCTGTCACCCAAATGGGGGACTGGATGGCAATCCTGGCTCCCAGCTCTGGCCTTGGCCCAGCCCAAGCTGTTGAAGGCATTAGGAGAGTGAGATAAAGGGTGGGAATGCTCTGTTTGTTGTTTTTCTCTGTCTCTGTCTCTTTGCCTCTCAAATAAACAATTAAAATTATTTTTTAAAAAAAGAATTTCCCTAACATCATTAAATGGATAAGAAAAAAAACTAATATTAACAGTATTTACTTTGGGGGCCCGCCTTGTGGTGCCTTTCAACTGAAACCTTTTTAAAAAACAACATTTACTCTCTAGAAGAGACATCTGCACTCTGGGTTTTTTGTTTTTTGTTTTTTGTTTTTTGTTTTTTTTTTGCAACACAGTCCGCAATGAGCAAATAGAAATGGTGTAAGTGCCCTCCGTTGATGAATAAAGAAAACGTACAAATACGCAATGGGGTACCACTCAGGGTATCTGAAATACCATCCTTTGCAACAACATGGATAGGAGTGGAGTTCATTCTGTTAAGTGAAATAAACCAAATGAGAAGGACAAGTACCACACGCTCTCAGCCATGTATAGAGTCTCAGAAAGTTGATTTCACAGAAGTTGAGAGTAGAATGGGGGTTACCAGAGGCTGGGTGTGGCAGTGGGTGGGGGAGGGGGAAAGCTTGATTAATACTATGACGTTATTAGAAGAGGAGTAGGAAGTTCTGCTGTCCTGTTGTACACCAGCGTGGCCACCGATCGTTATGGTATGCTGTGTATTTGTACCTCTCTTTCTCTCTCTCTCTCTCTCTGTCTCTCTCTCTCTCTGGCTTTTCCTCTCTCTGTCTGTAACTGTACCTCTGAGATAAACAAATAAAATCTTAAGAAAAAAGAAAAGAAAAGAAAAGAAAAACCCCATTCCGCCCTTACAGGCCGGTGACAAATGCTAAGTGACAAGAGGGGCTTCTTCCTGGGACACGTCGTGTCCCCACGTCTTCTGAGTTAGCTGGGTCAGGAAGCTCTTCCAGAAAGCAAAGTCTCGGGCCCCCAACACAGATGCGCTCTTGAAGGGGGTATGGGATAGGTTCAACTTATCCCTGCCTGAGGCCAAAAGCTGAGTCTTCAAGGGTTAGTGGGACAGCCTCAAGATGGCCAAATCCAGGAGAAAGGCTTCTGGTGGGGTGAGAGAACTGAAAGAGGAACAGAAAGTGCCGAGGCCGCGGCAGGGCTGCAAAGGGCAGTGGTCTGGGCGTGGGGCATCAGGGACCCCAGAGCCAACAGACACGTGAACCAAAAGCCACGGAGGCCAGCAGGCAGCTGGATGAGGGCCGGGAGGCATGGCTGGTGAGCCGGGTGGCAAGGGAGCCCGGGCACCGGGGAGAGCGCAGGAGGAGCTGGAAGTCCAGCCAGCCAAGCCAGGGGTGGAAGAGGGAATCAGAGTGGGATGCAGCAACTGCACGGACCCAAATCCAGAGAGGCCTGCTGATCCTGGGGTCAGTTCAGGGCCTCCAGCCCCGAGACGGGTCAAGTCTGACACTTGCTGACACCTGGTGATGGTCAATGCTGGGCTTCTCATGCGATTTCTGCCAGGCTGCCGGAAACGCTGGCCCAGCCTTGTGGGGCACATGGCACCCACATCCATTTGCCTCTCTCTCTCCCTTTCAAGATTTATTTATTTATTTGAAAGTCAGAGAAAGAGAGAGAGAGAGAAAGAGAGGTTCGCTTCTCAAATGACAGCAACAGAAAACCCTTTTCACCAAGATGGCGCCGAAGGCGAAGAAGGAAGCTCCTGCCCCTCCTAAAGTCGAAGCCAAAGCGAAGGCCTTGAAGGCCAAGAAGGCAGTGCTGAAAGGCGTCCACAGCCACAAGAAGAAGAAGATCCGCACGTCCCCCACCTTCCGGCGCCCCAAGACGCTACGCCTCCGACGGCAGCCCAAATACCCTCGGAAGAGCGCCCCCAGGAGAAACAAGCTTGACCACTATGCCATCATCAAGTTCCCCCTGACCACGGAGTCGGCCATGAAGAAGATAGAAGACAACAACACACTGGTGTTCATTGTGGATGTCAAGGCCAACAAGCACCAGATCAAACAAGCTGTGAAGAAACTCTATGACATTGATGTGGCCAAAGTCAACACCCTGATCAGACCTGACGGAGAGAAGAAGGCGTATGTGCGGCTGGCTCCTGACTATGATGCTCTGGACGTTGCCAACAAAATTGGGATCATCTGAACGGAGTCCAGCTGGCTAATTCTAAATATATGTTTTTTCACCATAAAAAAAAAAAAAAAATGACAGCAACAGCCAGGGCTGGGCTAGGCCAAAGCCAGGAATCAATAGCTTCTTCTGGGTCTCCCATGTGGGTAGCAGGGGCCCAAACACTTGGACCATCTTCTGCTCATTTCCCATTAGCAGAGTGGGAAGTGGAGCAGCTGGGACACAAACTAGTGACCATATGCGATGCCAGCATCACAGGTGGCAGCTTCACAACAGTGGCCCATCTCTCTTTTTCTCTCTTTCAGTGTATTTATTTAAAAGGCAGAGTGCATGTGAGAGAGAGGTTTTCTCTCCCCTGGTTCACTCAGCAAATGACCACAATGTCCAGAGATCTGCCAGGCCAAAGCCAGTAGCCTAGAACTCCATCTGGATCTCCCACATGGGTGGCACAAACCCAGGTACACAGACTCTCTGCGGCTGTTTTCCCCAGGCACATCCGCAGGGAACTGGATTGGAAGTGGAGCAGCCAGGACTAGAACCAGTGCTCATTTGGGATGCTGGTGTTGCAGGCAGCGACCTAACCCGCTGTGCCACAACGCCAGCCCCTTGCCTCTTCCTTCTGAACACACACCCAGCCGACGTTCCTCAGCCTTTCTCGCTTTGGGAAAGGCCATGGAATTAAGCTCTAACCAAAGCGATTCAACCTAAGCAAGGCAACTTACTCTCAGGCCTCCCAGCCTTTCCACTTCCTAAAACGCAAGTATTGAAGAGGGCAAAGCCATCACCAGCCCGATCCCTGACTGTCATCAGGGAAGACAGCCCCATCCTCCCAGCTCTAGACCCTGAGCATCTGGCCTGCTCTCTTAGGAGAGGAAGAGATAAACTTTCATCACCCTCTGGCTGTATGCTTCAGAGCAGCGTAACCTATCCCGAGTCATACTCAATGTGGCCAGAGCTCTCCCAAGACCCCAAGAGGGCTGCCACAGAGAACACGCCCCAAAGCACCACTTATAAGTATGTGAGGTGCGTGCCCACCCGTGGATTCAGAGAGGTGGCTGCCACAGGAACATCAGGGCCGCTAGTTTGCTTGTTTGTCCTTTGTCTGGAACATAGGAAATCTTTTCCCAGACAGGTGTTAGAAAAGGCACTGAGGGCCCCACCCCTACACCTGCAGGCAGCTGAGTGCAGTCCACCATCATTTATAACTTCTCTTTGCCCAGTGGCAGAGGCTGAAGACAACAGGAGGTCAGGAAAAGAGATCAGACATGGCTCCTCCCAAGTCAAAATGCACAGCAGGAGCCTCGGGAGGTTACCACAGCTTTACCAGGAGACACGGGCTGCCCTCAGTCTCCAAGCCCCAAAGTTGTGTTAGAACAGGGAGACTACGAGTCTCAGACGCAGACTTGGAGAGAGGTAGCAGA